AGAAATAAATATAATTTGCAGTTAGCATGAGTGAAAATATACTTTGTCGTTCCATTCAGCCCAACGAGGCGGTGCTTTTGACAAATTTCAGCGAGGCGCTTGCAAATTTCAGCGAGGCGGGCGCCTCGCTCATTTAAGTGCAGGGGAAACACTGTAATCACATCACTTTATCTAGATGAAGAGTGCAACTGGCCCTCTGTATACTGGAAAGAAAACAGCTGGTCACGGTTCCAACAGCACCAATAGTGCAACGATGAACAGCAATGCAACATCACAGAAGAAAGAGGAATCATCAGCCAAAGACAAGATAATTGTCCATGACAAGTAAGATCATTTTATGGGAGATATATTTAAGACCTCTAATTATTTAACACCTGATATAAAACCAGTCATCAACTAGATAAAGCTCTTAATAAATATTCTAATTCAACCTAGGACACTGGCGTTTAATGGGTCCTCTTTTCAGTTGAATAGTTTTATGCTACTATGAATTTAATATCTTTACATTTTCTAGTGTCAATTTGGTAATTTTTCAATGAATTTTGTATTGAATTGCAGGGAAAAAATGGACGATGGATATGAGGATCCCTGCAATGCAAGTGAAAGCAAGAAACTGGACCCAGCTTATCAAATCCGCATATAGTCCATAAGAAGTCTGCAGACTGTACATGTTTTATCTGTGATATCTGTTGCTGTGATCAAGTTACAAGTGGACTTTTAGTGTAAAGAAAGAACTACAGAGAACCAAAAGGCACATTTAACTTGATGTTTTATTGGTTTCTACATTTCAAGCCAGTTCACCTTCAATACAAAAATAGTTTTCATATAAAAAAGTAGGCAGGATTTCAGACTTTACGAAAGGCCAAAAAATCTGTCAGACATTCGGTCTGCCAAGCTTGAAAATTCTGTCAGACCGAAACAAAATCTGTCAGACCGAAGTAAAATAATAGAAATATGAACCATTATACATGTTTTCATGTGTATTTTCTAAGGTTTTAAATCACTGACATTAAATCAAATATTAAATTTTTGATATATATTTATTTGTAAAAAAGTAAAATAAGAAAAAAAAAAATAGACAAAAAATTACTTGCATAACGAGTTTTTTTATTTAATGAAAAAAAAACATTGTGGAATGACACAAGGACTAAAAACAATACAAGTATGAAGAATGTGTAGCTAGTAATATCAAATGTATGTCCATAAAAACGTCCGTTAATCAGATAACCATTTCACACGTTGTTTTTGGCAATAACATATGCATTTTGAAACAGCACAGTAAGGCGGTCTCTTTCATCCAATTGAAGCTTTGACAGGGACTGTCCAGTCCGAGTCTAAGTCCCTTCTTCACTTTATTTCTTTTTTATAAAAAGAAACTCAAACGGTGAGCTTTTCTCAAGTTCATGTGCTCTTTCTCCAACTCGTGGTGAACGGTACATGCAAATACGTACATGCATATGTTCCATACTTTAAGAACCCGTAATAAAGCTGTAACAGTTATGTTGCTATTGATCAAAATAAAAACTTTAGTACTCCTGACACTTGGCTCACACTATTTTCCTCTCCTACAGATCATAAGTCCGCCAGGGCCTACCTTCTTTCCAATTTTAGTAAACTTCCGTTTCTCTTCCTCACTTCGTTTTCATTTTTGCCACGCTTTGCACCAACGAAGTGTTTAAATTTCAACAAAGTCATTTTCTAAACAAAAGGCTTATCCATGAGTACTGTGTACGACTGATAATGAATAAACAGAGGATCAAGTCTGTAAAAACGCAAATAGCACGAGAACATGTGTTGCGGCCATTTTTAGGGGTATTACAAAAACGAAAACGAGACTGTACATTACATCATCCAGGAATCCCCCAACCTCAGCCAGTCACAAAATAGTATTTGTGAGTGAAACTGAGGTAAATAAATTATGTATAATTAGCTGGGAACTCCCCGATATTTTCACCCCGTCTCTTTTCGAATGAAGTTAAATATATCGTCCAGAAAAGAAATAACAAGGTATTCCTTATATTTACACATTTCCAATCAGTTTGAAAACTCGCCGGACATAAGGTCCGACAATACAGGACTTTTTATCGGACCGAGACGAAATTTGCCAGGCATGTCCGACGGTCCGACGCCTTTCGTAAAGTCTGGGATTTAAACTCTTCATATTTTGTATAAAAATTTGTATAGTATTAAATAAAATATAACCATTCAAAAAACTGAAATGATGCATTCTACTGTGATATACTTACATCATCAAAAAAAGTAATTTGCGTTCTTAAATGTCAATCCAATGAGGAATTTTAAAGATAACATACCTTTGAGTGTTTTTCAACTTTTGGGTTTTATCTTAGCAAAAAAAAAAACAAAAAAACTGCCACCCGTAATTTACTATATAAACCACTATCATGTGTACCAAATCCCCTCATCAATCTAATGCAAATTTGGCCAAAAGAGAGAGGTGATCAGACCCCAGGAATCTGTTTGGCAAACTCCCCAGCTGCTTGAGATCCTCATCAGAGAGCAAGCTGTACTGATCTTGTAGCTGCAAGTTTCCAGAAAAATGCTGACCGCTCCCACTAGTGGAGTAAAAGATGTAGTCAACAGTGGCACTGGCACGGCTGTGGTGTGTGGTGATTTCCCTCTCCCGGGGTCTACCTGTCCACCCAAGACAGTGGTCATAGACAGATCTTAAATTCAATGTATGACTCAACTGACCAGTTTCAAATGTCAAGAAATTTAAGGGTGAAGTTAAGTCTTTCTCTGACTGATTCCAATCTTTCTGCTGATGAATTCTTGGGTCTGAATCTGGCTCCTTACTAGTAGACTCTCTTTGAGACAAACTCTGGACGACTATCTCATCAGAGTCTTTGTTTTCAAGTAGTCTACCTGAGCAAGTAAGATCTTTTTGCACAGAAGGTGGTGAGGTGTGGTTTTTGTCCTCATTTTGTCTATTTGTACCAATTTGATTATTTTGTTTGCCAGATTCTGATGAAGCGTTTTTGTCTTCATTATGTCTACCTGAGCAAGTCTGATGCTTTTGGTTGCCAGTTTCTAATGAAGTATTTCTGTCTTCATTATGTCTACCTGAATAGGTTTGGTTCTCTTGGCTACCTGATTCTGGTGAAGCACTTTTGTCATCATTTTGTTTATCAGTACAAGTTTGATTCTTTTGTTCACCAGTTTCTGATAAAGCACTTTTGTCTTCCTTTTGTCCAACTGAACAAGTTTCAATCTTTTGTCTTCCATATTCTGATGAAGCACCTTTGTCTTCATTCTGTTCACCTGAACTTTCCTTTGCCTTTTGTTGATTGAAGGATGAAACAGTGTCCTTGTCCTCCAGTCCTCTTTTACTATGAACATTACCCTTGTCCCTTGAATATTGTGTACCCTGTTTGTTACACCTCTGCAAAAAGCTCTTAACCCAAATACATTGGTCTGAGATCCCCAAACTCCGTGGCAATAACACCCTAGACAGTAAAACAGCCTTATTTGTGAAGAAATCGGTTTCTGACACAAGATGCCTAGGTATGCCTTCATATCTCAGGTGTCCTTTCGTAAGAAATGTATATAAAGGTGTGAAAGGATCTGTGTTGAAGTCTCCACACATTATAACCGGCCACCTTACCGTTTCCTTTTTAAAGGACACATCTTCCAGTGATGAAAGAAGAAGGGCTGTTTGTGCAAGTCTTACATCCCCACGCTTTGGGTTGAACAATAAATGAGTATTGCCTACAACAATCTTTTTATGACCAAATCTGTGAACCTTCAGAAGAAGAATCAATGCAACATTGTCTCTATCAAGAACGTCAATCTTCTTATTAAATCTGACACACTTTACAGCAGCTAATGAAAATTTTCTACGTTTGAAAAAGGTGGCACAGCCGTCTGGCTTATCTCCTGTCTTCTTCACATAGTGACCGATATATCCTGAAATTGACAGGAAAAAATCAAGGCCACTACACAAATAGGGTTTCACCAAAGGAGATTATTGCCCGTTTTTTTTTTTTTTTTTTTTTTTTTTTTTTTTTTGCATTTGACATTTGCAAGTTAGTGACTGTGGGTGTATGTAATCATACACTTATGGAAAAAAAGTTTCGTTTCTACACTTTTTATCTTTTAGTTCATTTACAATTTGACCACTTCTTGGTTTTGGGTATTAGAAAACAATTTAAGAAGAAACATTGCTAATTCTTAAACTTTTATCAAATACCAGATAATGAGACAGGTTACACTAAAAATATATATATTTAAAAATGTTGGGCTTACAATATTGTTTGTTTAACTTACCCAGGTGTTTTAATTGATACTGAAAGTCCTTGAAAACATATGGTTCCATTTCTTGAAAACAAAGTATCTGGAGTAATAAATAAAAGAATGTTATATTGACAAACAATATTTAAATATATTGATTATTATCATATGATAGTAAAGTAAAAGCAGGGCCGTAGCCTCGGGGGGGGGGGGGGGGGGGGGGGGCGGCCCCCCCCGGGGTTTTTGGGGGCAAAAAAAAAATTGCAAAAGGAAAAAAAAAATTTTGAAAAGTGGGATACAATTTTGGGGAAAAA